TTTTTGAGACAGAGTCTCTCTCTGTAGCCCAGGCTGGAGTGCAGTGGCGTGCTCTCGGCTCACTGCAACTTCTGCCTCCCAGGTTCAAGCGATTCTTCTTTGTCAGCCTCCTAAGTAGCTGGGATTACAGGTGTGTGCCACCACACTCAGTTAATTTTTGTATTTTTAGTAGAGATGGGGTTTCTCCATGTTGGTCAGGATGGTCTCATCTCCTGACCTCAGGTGATCCACCCACCTAGGCCTCCCCAAGTACTAGGATTACAGACATGAATCACCATGCCTGGCCGCTACTTTTTAAATAGTCAGATGGAAGTATAGAACAATCTATTCATGCTATCTCAAAAGATTATAAATTTTTGAGCCACAAAGGAAAGGTTCTCATCCCTATTTCCATCATTGTTGCCATTGTCAGCTGTGTGATCTTGAGCAATTTCCCTGAGTCTCTGTTTCCTTGTCTGTTAAGTTAGGATACTTCACAACTTTCTCAAGAGAGACTCTGGGAGGGAATTAAGACTAATGCTTTCAAGCACTCATTGTATAAAGGGAATCAATTTCTCTTCTGTCATATAGGATGGTACTAGTTATGCACCATCCTTGGGGTAATTGAGAAAACAACTACATGAGGATTCAAAAGGATAATAAATAGCATTTATTGTGGGTGTAAAATAGCATTTACCATAGGTGTGATAAATAGTATTTATTATAGGTGTTATTTATTATAGGCATTATTTATTATAGGCATAGTAAGTAACATCTTGTATGGCACATGGAAGGTACTCAGTAATACTAATCTTTTTTCTTTTCTACAGTAGGTCAGAAATTGGGCTGAGGTTTTCATTGAAGATGATAGCAGTGCCCTTCCACAATGTGACTCTCAAGGCCAGCTTCCTGGCACCCATCTGTCCAGAATGACAATTTTTCCTATAAGGAGGCACTTTTGAAGAAGGAAAGGAGAGGGATGTTGATGGGCATTCTGTCAGGCATTCCATCAACTAAGAAATGAATGGGGATCATGCTGGCGGCTGTAACGGATCTGGCAGCCCCATAGTCACTCCTTCTCCCCTGTATTTATCTGTTTACCATTTCTTGACTGAAAGCTCCTTGAAGGCAGGTGGTAAGGACCAGTCTTTAATTGTACCTTTCTTTCTGTAGTGACCAGCAAATAATAATATCTGTGAGGAATTACTGACTTCACGGTATCCAAGGAAAGCCAGAAGGTATGAAACCGGGACTGTGGAGCAACCTCTTGCTTTTCATGGAACTTTCAGCCTATGAGGCATTTCAGGGAAAAGAAGTTCTTCCCGGAACCCAGGAAGCTGAGTTCCTCACTTCTCTGAGCTCGGTGCATCTATCTCATGTCTAAGTTTCCTTCGACAAGTGCAGGAGAGGGTGACAGGAAGCCTGCATAATCACCCCTGCCAGCTCACACGCAGGCTGTCTATGACCTCCAGAAGGGACGAGACACCTTTCTACCATTTCACAAGCCTCTGGGCAGGAAGTTCTCTAATCTCAGGTTCCCACGTGACTCAGACAGTCCATTTTTCTATTCTCACATCTCATCTGGTCGAGCTTGACTAAAAATATCATGCGAACCACCCAAGTAAACCCCTGCCTTTGTCTCTTCAAATGGTGTCGATGATATGTCAATGTACACACACACCAAACTGATATAGTATCGCTAGCAGTGTCTCTTTAAAGAGGAGGTCTTTTAGAAGGCAGAACACTCTACAATAAGAACCTTTTGCTGTGCAAGGTTCAGAGCTGTTGCTGTGGCAACTCCCACAACCTCGCTGAGTATCCAAATAAATAGTTTGTTCTTTTTTTTTTTTTCTCCCTAAGTAAGAGGGGGGAGGGGAACGATCGATGAGACTTGCTATCGGCATCCATTTGGAGTTGTGGAGTCAGTGCAAAAACTGAGGTTTCCTAAAACGACAAAGAAATAAAGGCTTTGGAAAAAGCCCACACCCCTCAAAGGCTGCAGATGGAAAATGGAAGGGAACTGTGTGCGGGAACCTTAGCAGGCGCCGTGGCTTTGAAAAGAAGCTCCCAGCAGCAAACACCCAGGCAGAAAGAAAGAAAGCTGCGGGGTTCCGACCCCACATTCCGGCGGAGAGCTCGGGCCTCTCTGCGGGGGGACGCCCAGCCTCCCCCGGCCTGCCCCCCACCCCCACTCTCCCTCCTCCGCTCCCCGCACCGCCGCGTCTAACCAACCCGGGATCTCGGGTTAAACAAAGAGAGTGGTATGCCTTAAAAAAAAAAAAAAAATCTTTTCGTGTAATAGGTGATACGTGGAAAATTAATTACAGGAAATAGCACAGCGAAAAGCAGCAGCATTCGTCTTTAAATGGATATGGTTCCCCCCTTCTCCGCCCCCCTACCGGCTCTTCCTCTGCCCTGCGCAGACAGCCACCGCCCCTACCCTCCCCCTAAACTCTTTTATTATCAGTTGAATCACGTCTCGTGCCAAGCAAAAGGTCATTTCAGGTCATCTTGGAGATGAAAGGACGGGGTAACGTATGTAAAGGTGCGAAGATTGGCAAGCCAAAAAATACCTATATACATATACATATAGAGACCGAGAGAGAGAGAGGTGGGCCGGCGGAGGGGGGGCGGGGGGGGTCGCGGTAGTGGGGATGTGAGAAGCGCCAGCATTCTAACAAGAACAGAGTGATGCCAGAAAGACACAGGAAATGTTTCAAAGCATGACAAGCACTACCCCATCTGTAGCTAATTCCTTATAAAAATAAGAACGTGGTTTATAATTGTGAGCTGCCTGGAGGGTAAAGTTTCTAATTGTTCTCATCCAGGATCTCATTTTTGACCGTTTATCAGAGAGCCAGAGATGCCGCCCATTGCGAAAGTGCATATTCTGGCAACGTGCTGCATCTGCGGGACTTTGGGAAACCGGCTCTGCTGGGGCAGAGAGGCGGGACTCATCAGAGCCTCCAACAGAAGGGGTTGGGGGCAGAGGGCTGGCTGGTCCAGTCACCCTCTTGAGGGGGATTTAGAACCACCAGGGTACGTGCGCAGTCTATTTAGGGTGTTTCAGTAGCAAGCACAGACCTCTTTGTTTGGAGATAAGAAAAAAAACAAAACCTCGCATACAGTTGTTGTTATTGTTTTCCCTACACTGTTTCCTGGGTAGGGATGGCATGGTTTTTTCTTTCTCTACTAAGAGATGCCACTATCTCCTTTGAGTTTGTAATTCAATGCCATTTCAATAAAGACAATTGGCTTTCGCTCTCTCTGAATTCTTGCCAAGTGCATTTTCCCCTTTCTTTTCCTTCCCACTGCTGTATTTGAATGTCCTGTATTTGCCTCACCAATTTTTTTTTCTAAGAAATAAGGTCTTCCCCCTCTCCCCTCCGCCCAGCCCCGCAATAACGCAAATGCTAAGAGCAATCTATCAGGTGAGTGGGAGATTTGGGTAATAAATCGTTTGCTCCCAGACACCAAAAGTTTCTTACATGGAAACTCCCACTACGGCCTCCGCTGCCATGGGCTCCGCTCAACTCCCTCTGGGCTCCGCTCCACTCCCTCTTCTTACTAGTCAGACTCCATCTACCAGCCCCCATTCTTTCCACACCCACAGAATTTCAAACAGGGAGGCTTCTGAGGCAGCCAGTTAAAGGTAAGCTGTTTATTGACAGGTTCTGTAATAGTAAAGCCAATGAGATTTGATGAGATTCATCTGTTACCCCACCCGTCCTGGGAAATAGCTTTTTACAATGGTTATCATCTCAATATGTTGCACCTGCTAGAGAAACTGGCCTTCATATATGCCTGTTTCCCAACTCACATCATTATAAAGTCATACTCACTGAAGTTTTACTAGCTCCCTCATTACTAGTCATGTGTTTCTAAAGAAATACAAGTCATTTTTGTAACTATTGTAGTTGCTAACAGCAGAACCCTCAACAACCTGGCTATTTGAAGCGAATAGACTCGGTTCTTAACAAAATGGCATTAGTATATTTGGGGTGTAGAGAGGTGATCATTGTGCAGAATGAAGGGAGGAAGAAATAGTAGTCCACAGGGTGGGGCAAGATACCTTGATTTAGCCAAAGTCAGCAGCTGCCTGATTAATAATTGAAGTGCTGCTAATAAGTGGATGAGGATTGGCTGATGCTTACGTCAATCAAAAAAATGTGGCACCCCCCCTCCCCAAGTAACCAATGAGGCTTTTCAGGCATTGGTCCTTTTCCATTGGTTACATGCACCCTGATGAAAAACCCCAAGGCAAAGCTGATGATGTCAGCTGGGGCATGCAACTGTCACAGAGAGAACATGGCAAGTCTCCTCTCTTTGTCATTTCTGTTGAACAGTATTGTGTTACACATATGAGCAAACCCATAATATTCCATGTTCATATCTTCCCAGATCACCTAAAAGTTCCGACAGACTTAAAATACAATCAGGTATTTCCCATGCCTTACTGAGAAGGAAGAAAGAAAGGGATCTAGTATTGATTAATCACTATATATCAGGTGATAGTCATTTTAAATCACTATCACTCAGTCCCCACGTCAACTCTGTGGATAGTATAATTACTTCATTCCTGATGAGGAAACTGACAAGGTGAGTTGAGTAACTTAGAGATCACTACACATCTAACAAGGGAAGGGGAAAAAAGCTCATATTAGTGAGGACGCCTTGTTTCAGTGACTATGCTTAGCTTATTACACATTTACTTTCAAATAACCCTATGCTATGCATAATATTGTCTCCATATTATAGATGAAAGTGAGACTCAAGAAACTTAAATAACTTGTTCAAAATCACAAAGCTAGTAAATTCAGGAGCTGGAATTCAGACTCACCCCAGTGTGACGCCCAAAGACCATGCTGTTTCCCTGCAACTGTTGCCTCAAATATTAGCCTGGGATAGAAGAATGAAAGGTTAGTTCTCAGCCTTATTCCCAATAGGATAGCACATGATATGTCCTCAATCCCTCTAAGCTTACTTCAGAAAAATTTACCTTGGCATGTACATAAAGACTGTCCATGATCAGGCATAATGACAGAGTCCCATATGTCTAAAGGAAAGCATTTCAGACAGTTTCATGGAGGATCACAAATAATAAGCCTCTAGGTCTGATCTTAAACTCAGACCTCATGAGTGATGTTGGCTCGCTTAATGTTTCAAAGGCTGCAAAAGTGAAAGACAGGAAATCCCCAGAGCTTATTCTCATTCTAGCTTTTTACTATAAACGCTAAGGTTATTTCTGAATGTAATCACCAAGTCCATCATTTTCAACTGATTTGGCCTAAATTTTAATGAGTGACATTTCTTTACTCAATATATATTAATTGAGTGCTTACTAGGCACCAGGCAATGTGTTCTATATTAACCATACACAAGTGTTTGTGCAATTGACTGGATAACGTTGTCATTCCTTGTTTGGGGAACATCAGAGGAGAAGAAAAAGAAGGGAGAGAGGGAGGATGGAATGAGGTGGGCGGATTTGGCAGACTAAACTGAGTTTGAGGTGCCTGCAGAAGCACCTGCTGGTGTTTCCTGATAAGTAATTAGAATTATGGGTCTGGCTTTCCGGAGACAGCTCTGGACTAAAAATACTCAGGATGGACTCACATACGGCAGATGGTAACTCAAGTCATGGTAACTGAGATCATCCAGGGAAACAGGGCAAAATGGGAAAAGAACAGGACTTAGAATAGCAGAGACCAGAAGAACCTGATCTTTAAAGGATATTTAAGATCAAGTACGTTCTCCAATTTTGTTTGTGGCAAAGTAGGCCACCCTTTTCATTAATTCGCTAATTCATCTAACCAGCCCTTACCGATAACCTCCTATATATTAAGTGCTCATAATGCAAGCATGAGTAACATACATTTCCTTGCCTTGAGGGGATATAATAGAGGAAAATTCAAATATATTTATATATAAAGAGCTGTCTATATTCTTTCTGAAAGAAAGAAAAAGAGATTGGTGAGATAGGCTCATAATATAAATGATTCATTTTATTTTATTTTTATTTTGAGATCGAGTTTCACTCTTGTCGCCCAGGCTGGAGTGCAATGGTGCTATCTTGGCTCACTACAACCTCTGCCTCCAGGTTCAAACAATTTTCCTGCCTCAGCCTCCTGAGTAACTGTGACTACACACACCTGCCACCACATCCAGATTAATTTTTGTATTTTTAGTAGAGACGAGGTTTCGCCATGTTGGTCAGGCTGGTCTGAAACTCCTGACCTCAGGTGATCTGCCTGCCTCAGCCTCCCAAAGTGCTGGGATTACAGGCATAAGCCACCATGCCCAGCCAATTTTTTAAATTTTTTTTTACTTCCATAGGTTATTGGGGAACAGGTGGTGTTTGGTTACATGACTAAGTTCTTTGGTGGTGATTTGTGAGATTTTGGTGCACTCATCACCCGAGCAGTGCATACTGCACCCAGTTTGCCCAATTTGTAATCTTTTATCCCTCGCTCCCTTTCTACCCTTTCCCCTTGAGTCCCCAAAGGCCATTGTGTCATTCTTATGCCTTTGCATCTTCATAGCTTAGCTACCACTTATGAATGAGAATATACGATGTTTGTTTTTCCATTCCTGAGTTACTTCACTAAGAATAATAGTCTCCAATGTCATCCAGGTTGCTGATAATTCCATTAATTCATTTCTTTTATGGCTAAGTAGTATTCCATTATATATATACACATATATATATGTATATATATATATATATATAATGGAACATATATATGTTTATCCACTCATTAATTGATGAGCATTTGAGTTGATCCCACATTTTTGCAATTGTGAATTATGCTGCTATAAACATGAGGATGCAAGTATCTTTTTCGTATAATGACTTATTTTCCTTTGGGTATACACCCAGTAGTGGGATTGCTGGATCAAATGGTAGTACTACTTTTAGATCTTTAAGAAATCTCGGGCCGGGCGCGGTGGCTCAAGCCTGTAATCCCAGCACTTTGGGAGGCCGAGGCGGGTGGATCACGAGGTCAAGAGATCGAGACCATCCTGGTCAACATGGTGAAACCCTGTCTCTACTAAAAATACAAAAATTCAGCTGGGCATGGTGGCGTGTGCCTGTAATCCCAGCTACTCAGGAGGCTGAGGCAGGAGAATTGCCTGAACCCAGGAGGCCGAGGTTGCGGTGAGCCGAGATCGTGCCATTGCACTCCAGCCTGGGTAACGAGAGCGAAACTCCGTCTCAAAAAAAAAAAAAAAAAAAAAAAAAAAAAAACTCCGTCTCAAAAAAAAAAAAAAAAAAAAAAAAGAAATCTCCACACTGTTTTCCATAGTGGTTGAACTAGTTTACATTCCCTCCAGCAGTGTAGAAGTGTTTCCTGTTTGCCACATCCCTGCCAACATCTATTATTTTTTTATTTTTTTATTATGGCCATTCTTGCAGGAATAAAGCAGCATCACATTGTGGTTTTGGTTTGCATTTCCCTGATCATTAGCGATATTGATATGTCACTAACATATGTGTATAGGCCATTTATATATATATATATGTGTGTGTGTGTGTGTGTGTGTGTGTGTGTGTATATATGTGTGTGTGTGTATATATATATATATCTTCTTTTGAGAATTGTCTATTCACGTCCTTAGCCTACTTTTTGATGGGATTGTTTATTTCTTGCTAATTTGTTTGAGTTTGTTGTAGATTCTGGATATTAGTTCTTTGTCAGACGTATAGATTGGGGAAATTTTCTCCCAGTCTGTGGGTTTACTGTTTACTCTGCTGACTGTTCCATTTGCTGTGCAAAAGCTCTTTAGTTTAATTAAGTCCCAGGTATTTATTTTTATTGCATTTGCTTTTGGGTTCTTATTCATGAAATCCTTGGCTAAGCCAATGTCTAGAAGGGGTTTTCTGATGTTATCTTCCAGAATTTTTATAGTTTCAGGTCTTAGATTTAAGTCCTTGATCTATCTTATGTTGATTTTTATATAAGGTGAGAGATGAGGATCCAGTTTCATTCTCCTACATGTGGCTTGCCAATTATCCCAGCACTATTTGTTGAATGGGGCATCCTTTCCCTACCTTTTGTTTTTATTTGCTTTGTTGAAAATCAGTTGGCTGTAAGTATTTGGGTCTATT